AGCGCTTTTCTATTTTGCTCCACACCCGTAACTTAGTCGACGCCCCAGGGATGCCTCGTCGACTGACGGAAATACAATTATTTGATTCGTCTAGCAACAAGTGGCTCTTAGGGGATCGTTAACGGTAGATCCTCATAGAGATTTCGATGCCTCGATAGCGGAATCCGCCACCAACGGTGTTACGGTTTGTGATAGTATGATGTATCGCGATTCTAACGCGCTAAGAAACATAACATCGTTTTGCAACAGCCTACAAGGCACAAAAGTTCGTCGTTGATAATTTGCGACTTGTTTACGTGTTCTTGCGCGTTCGTATCGATTCACGGCTCACATTGAGCCGATGACTGTTGTATTCAAATCGTGACATACGTGAAGATTTCAAATACAAAACCGTGGCTAACACGACACTTGAGAAGGAGGTTTGAGGGATGAATAATCGGAAAAGAGAGAATATACGGCTAAAAGACGATTGAAGAGACAAAAAGGAATGAGACAGGAGGAAAGGATATAGAGAGGGGGGGAGGGGAGAGAAAAGAAGGGACACAAAGAAATGCAATGACGAGACCCGTAAGCATTGCTACAAAAGCGCAGCCGTTGAACGCAACCCTTCGTATGCCTTCATCGTTTCATTGCGGCACTCTCCGACAGTTAACTTCACTAAGACGGATCGTAAATTACGCCAATATTTCCGCGAAATCCTAACAAGATTATAAACCAGATTGTAGCGGTCTATGCGGCGGCTGCGGCCGTACCGTGCTCCCTCTTTCCTCTCGGGACCTTTCTTAATCTTCGAGCCTCTCGACTGGAGAGTTGGAGTGAGAACTCGAGTGATGCGGAGAAAAAAAAGGGCAAAGAGAGAGAGAGAGAGAGGGGGGGGAGGAGGGGGAGTAAACAGGGAGGAGATCTATTTATAATGCGTTTGCGTCTTTGCAGGGGCCCAGCCGGTGAAGGCAGTAAATGTCACGTGTATTTCATATGAAACTCCACCCCCTCCCAACTATTCCTCGCAATGCCAATCTCTTTTGCTGGCCTGATAATGCCAAGCGTTAACAAAGTTAACCCGCGCGACTCCTCTCTAGAAATCATCTCTCTCTCTCTCTCTCTTTCTTTTTCATCCTCGTCTCTTTTCCTTGATCTTCCTCTTTCTGCGCTACGTTCTTTGCTTCGCTTTTCGAAAAGAATCTTAAAGGATCTTTTCGAAAATGAAATGCAGTTGCCTGCGTAAGTGTAAGTAGCTTCTACAAAAGACATTTTGCTGGATCATCTATGGTACACTTGATCATCAAGTAGACAGGAAGACGTATAACAATGTTAACCGCAAAGCCGCAAATCAGCTCGTAAAACATTCGATGAAAGATACGATGTTCACTTTCAAAAAATTTGAAAATCTTTCAAGTCATTGGGGATAAGATCCCGGTCGTATTCCTTGATTTTGCTTCCTTAATTAATCAAGAAATTGTTTTAATGCATTTAGAAAAGAAAAAGTCTTAAGATCTGGAATTAAAAATTATCCTTAACAGGAACAATCGAATTGTTGGCATAAATGATGTGCGATCTTACAGGGGTGTATTCCGGTGACGGCTTATGTACGATGGATTCCGGGGCCGTCACGCGAGATTCTGGGAAAAGCCGTTTCGCGCGTCTGAAACTCCCTTTGAACACGGGGAGACCGGTCCGCACATCGATAGGATGGGGTGAATGCGTGTGTTAATGAAGGCTTCCAACGTAACCAATTGTTATTAGATCGGTCACTCCCTCAACCCCGCCGCATCTATTCGCCCCTCGCAATAACCCATAAAATGAAACATTTTGTTTCGTATATCAATTATCCCCACTACACCTTCGCAAGGGTATACTCGATAAATATGATACTAAGACGCGCCTTCGTCTTAGTGGGATTTCTCGGTCGCCTTCTCCTTTCCTGAGAGAAATATTATTGAAACAGAACGATGGCGTTTGAATTTCCTAAGAAAATTATCTTAGTTTTATAGCTCATAATTTCACCTTTTGTCTTTTGAACTAAACCAAGCTGTCTGCTCCTGTTCAACATTTGTCCAACGCTTTCGTTTAATTTATCGGGATATTACAGAAAATATACGACGGATTTCGTTGCTACCTTTTGCAAGAAACGAGAGTTGGATTGGTCTATCGACGATACGTGCCGTGCACGTGATTTTTATCATAAGATCTGTCGCATGCTTTTTTCCGCGGGAAACTCGCGTAATGTACGCAAAGCGAATGGCTACTTTGACTCGTTGAAAGCAACACGCGATGGCCACCGTTGCTCGTCGCGGTGCTACTTCGCCACCACTACTTGGACGAGTCCGCGGTATGGCGCGGCACGGCGCGACGGCGGCCGTTATAAAAATAACTGCTGATTGGACGCCCTACCAAGAAAAGTCGTAATCGCATCCTGAAACGTTCCCTTCCTCCTCTCTGTTTCTCTCTCTTTTTCTCTCTCTTTCTCTCTCTCTCTCTTTCTTCTCTCTTTGTCCGTCCCTCTTCCTTTCTCTTATTTCCCTTTTACTCTTTCTCTCCCTATCCTCTCCTTTCTCTCACTATTTTATCTTCCTGAGCATTCACTCCCGCTGTTTTGTATCGCCCCTCCTTTTCTCGTCAATCTCACGTCGAGGAATATTACATCGCGTAAGAAGGATAAGCGTAACTTTACAAATCTTTTTCTGCCTCTTTAAGAATTTAAAAAATTTGAAAATTTGAATTTATAAAATATAAAGCAACGTATAATTTTTACGTATCTTTTTCTATTTGATTCTTTTACCTTAGTCATTCATTAAGAAACTACACTACTTATTTGGTCTTATACATCATGATTCATATCGAGAGAAAGTTGATGCTTTGTTAGAATATTGTATTGCGAGAAATTTCATGAAGCACTCTAGCATAAACAACAAGAGGAAGATGATCGGATACTCGATGCATCGCTGCCATCGATTGCATTTTCACCGAGGAGTCTCGCGCAATGCAAGGGACGAGAGGGAACGCGAGTATTGGTCGCCATGTTGTGCAGCTTTTATCGCCGCGCCCTACATAGGAACATTAAGCGCGGGTTGCCGGGTTGCGCGTATATCAACAATAATTGCAGGGCCAATAATAAACCCGAAGAGAGCACGCTCGATAGCCCGAAATTGCTGGTTCCCCTACCCTGAGCAGCGCGGTTTTATTGCCTCCTCTCGTCGGTCAGAAATGGCGGCAGCCTCCTTCATCGTTCTCGATGGCGGATAAACGATCCTGCGATACGGCGCCGCGCCGCGAACGTGCGCTTCTCTTTCTCATTGTCCGTATCTACGTCTGTGTTGTCTGCGTGTTCGTACAACGTGTTCCCGCGTACCGAGGCATCTCTTACAGAATCGTTCGCGAGCTCGTAAAGAGCCGCAAAAGCGGGCTCCGCACGCGCGATAGTCGCAAGTATTGCCCTTGTTAACGCCCTGTTAACTCGAACCTTTGGACAAACTCGTAAAATTTACCGGCTCCGTGGAAAACGGCGATCACCACGCGGCGAAGGATCGAGTTATCGACAATTTTCGAGCTTCACACAGTTTTGTTGAGAACGTAAAAATCAAGAGTATAAAAAATAGGAAATTAAATTGCGATATGCTTGATGATGCAAGGGTCTTATTTAAATTTATTGCTGAAACTGAAAGTTATAGATTTTTCTTTATCTCGAGATAAAAAAATGACACGCGCTTTTAATGTTTGGAGCGTTACTATGATTTTACCTCGTGAAAGATTTTCAATCGTTCATTCGTTTCAGAACGTCGCTCAGTGCATTTATGCACGACTCTAAACCTCAGATTACGCCAACTCGAAAGGTCGTAAAGGTGCGTTTACGTTTACGTAGTTTAAGCGCACGATAGTCGCGGGCACTGCTGCTCTTGTTAACACTCCGTTAACTCGTGGTTCAGGCAACCTCGTAAAATTCGATGGCCTGGCTACCATAGTAGGCGGCGATAATACGCGTACACGAATTAACTAAAGAATTTCTTGGTATCTTTCTGAATGTCGCTTGACGAGGAATATTTCTCACACTATTACGTATCATCGGCTTCCACGTGTGACGTCGTATATAATTTCGAATGCACAACATCTTGGCATTATATTTCATAATACATGCGTCTTTCTTTAAAACGGCTCAATTAATTTTTTAGTGCTGGATTAGGCTAATTTATTTTATCAGACAAATATTATCAAAAGCAGAATTTGTTGTCAATTTTTGTTATAATTCATAAATGTTATTTGCAACGTCATTTTTATCGTGTGAGAGCTCATAAGAGCGAACACCAATCGATAACTTTTAATACAATCGCTTCGATACCTCATTGAATTTTCCACTTCGTGTTCGTTTTCTATCTTTAATCGGTTATGCTTTCTCTCTTTCTCTCTTTATCCGTATATCTGACGCGATACACCCTAAGGAAGATCGTAAAAGACTGCGCCACTCGCGTGATTGTTGCGAATTCGTTATTACTCTTGTTAACGCCCCACGCTGGACAAACCTCATAAAATCCAACGGTTTTACGCTAGTCGTGCTTTAAGACGTTCGCAAAATCTGCCTTGACTGATCACGCAATTAATAAAGGATGGTTTACATCACTTACTGTCTGATTAGTCAGTCGTTTATTGATTTTGCGAAATTCCGAGATAATTAGGAAATCTCTTAAAATCAGCGTAAAATTTCTGAATCTTTATTAGTCGGGGATATTTTACGTAGCAACGAATCGTATTTTATGATTAATTATAAATATATTATAATAATAAATATGAATATGATATAATACGATACAATTTTATTGATTATTGCGAAGATTACAGAAAAATAAAGCAGTGCAATTTTTATACATGCATTTAATTTAAATTTCACGCATATTGCGTAATCGTAAAGATTGAAATCTTTTTTCTCAAAGTGAATAAAAATATTTTGATGTTAAATGCAGGTATATATATATATATGTAAAATACGTAAAATCATCTTTATTTTACAGGTACACCCATCAGCCGACTTCCCATCATGGCAAAATCCGTATTGGATCTTTATGAGCTTTACAAGTTAGTAGTATTACGAGGTGGACTGGTCGAGGTAATTAACAAGAAGCTGTGGCAGGAAATTATCAAAGGACTTCGACTACCAGCAAGCATCACTTCCGCCGCGTTTACTTTGCGAACTCAGTAAGTAGATCGTGAAGTTTCTCATCCGGGAACCCCGGTCTCGCCTATACAGACACGATGTCCATCAGGACATGATGTCCTTCGTAATTCGCATACAATACGTCTTAGTCGACGAAGAGTCATCCGAGCGTAAAATCTGTAGCAATGACTAAGAATACCGTGACTTTTACGCGCGTCGCCTCGTCAAGATCATCGTGTTCGATAAAGCTATCCGTGTCGTACAAGATACGCGTATGATAGCGGATCATACCATTCGCACATATTTGCATCGTTTAGTCATGTTGTTAGCAAACGTTTCTCCATTCATATATTTCGCTAAATAAATATCTCTGTAATTAATCCACAAGTCCGAAGCTGCGTTAAAGTTCAAATTCCCTGAAGATAATAAAATTACGATTATATATCATCCAAGGATTGGGTTCCAAAACTTGACTCTGTTAATTCTGAGTATCTTTTATCTTTATTTAACATTCGGTAACCGACAAGGATAAAACGATATTCGAGTTGACAGAGTTGAATTTTGGAACGCAACCCTGTATGTATATTAGCCAGTGTAATTCGAATTGAATTTCGCGATCGAGAAAGCGAGAGATGTCGCACGGGCCTGCAAGCATGTTATTACGCGCTCACTGTCGACGAGAAGATAAAACAACGTAGGTGTCGAGTTAGAGGCGTGACATACAGGTGCATCGTCTTAGCCGACATGTCGTCTACGTCGGATCCCCCGCGCGATTCTTCACGAGCGGGACATCTCGCGGGGTGGGTTGTGACAACCTGGAACCGTTGGCACGATATATATTCGTTTATATAATACCGAGCATATCCAGCGTGGCGACGAAGATTTATCTGCCGTTTGCGATGTCTCGTCTCCCCGCGAGGGACGGGAGAGGACGAGACATCTCTAAATAGAGATTCGTCGGCGAGATTCGTCGGAGAGACGACGGCGCGAGGCATCCCGCTCATCTCGCGGTCGAACGCGCGACGGAGAAGAGAGGCTACGCGGGAATGGAAAAGAGAAGGATGCGAAAATGCGTGGGCCAGGAGAAGAGGGATGGAGGACGCCGACACATTATAAGTACGGGCTAATATGAATTACACGGGCGCGATGCTAGGGGTGTGCTCGTGAAAATAACTCCGCGCAACGCGCTTTGTGCACGACGGAACGTCGGCGTCGCGTCGCGTCGCGTCGCGTCGCGTCGCATCGTCTCGCGTCGCCTCGCCTCACCTCGTCGCGATGGCGCATCCATCATTCCGGCAACCGGCTATCTTTCCTCGACGATATGTATGCGAGATAGAGGAGAAAATACGAAAATACGGTCGGCCTCAACAAAATCTGTTCGCGACAGCATTCATCTGGCAAGAATCAGTGTCGATTAATTTGAACTGTGACGTCCAACTATCTTCCCGTCTTTCTAGTAATACAAGCTAATTATATCCATTCAATGTTTGACACCTTTTTAGAAAAAAATCTTGAATGAAATTTATCTTAATGATGTGATTTCGTTGTTTTATTGTATAAAATTTAAAGAATTCCGTTTTAAGACTATATTTTGTATCTCTTAAATCTTTATGTTTGTGAATATTTCATGTTACAACTTTTACACGGAAAGAAGTAAAGTTCTATGGTTATCTAAAAACTTAACTTATATAGATACAGATCTGAAAATAATTTCGTTGGGCCATCAAAATATTATGTAGAATGTTTAAGCGCAGTTAATGACAATGTTGTAGAAAGTTTTAACATTTTAGCAACTATTTTGAGCATTCCATAATTATTTTGGTCCAAACAAAATTATTTTTAAATCTGTATCTAGCTAGATTTTTAAGTATTTCAGCAAAATATATAGATTTTATTATCTTGTGAAAAGATATATATTTATTAAAGTAATTTATCGATAGGTACATGAAATATCTGTATCCATACGAGAAAGAGAAGGAAGGATTATCGACCCAAGAACAACTCCAGACGGCGATCGAGACAAATCGTCGCGAGAGCCGCAGGAACAATTACGCGGCTTACCCTGACAATCAAGTACCGCGAAACCAGCACAACTCGCTGCCGCCAAATCCAATGCCGTTGCCGCTCTCGATCGCCCAAATGGCGGTGGCTGCGAACGAATCGCAACATCATGTCGTAAATGGACATCCACATGGTCCGCAACATCATCCGCAACATCTTCCACCAAATCTGGGTAATCTTCCACCTAATCAGCGTAAGTGATTTTTGTCTTTTTCGAAGACGAAAATTTTTCACACGAATTTTGTTGCATTAAAATTCGTGTGAAATTTCCATTTTCCGCACATATCACATATGTTTGACGTTACTGCACTGAAAGAAAAGATTGATTGAATAAGACACAGCATTTTTATTAATTAGTTGCAGCACCAAATTTTTGGTTGCATTAGCCTATCGAAATCTTATATTGACATTGCGGATAGGCTAACGTAATAAAAAATTAGCTGCTGCAGCTAATTAAAAATACTATTCCATATTTTACCATCTAATTTGCTGCAGCAGCCAATCTTTTCTTTCAGTGTACCATTGTGCTATAGCGTAAAAAAAGTATTATAGTTAATAACTTCAGTTCTATCTATGATACTTTTCCAAATGAAAGGCAATTCGTAACACGCCCCATATCAGAAATAGAAATAGAAAAAGAGTACAGGAAAGAGTAAAAATGAGAGACTTCCCGACAGTAGGGAAGATATCAGGGGACGAGATAGAAAAAAATGGTAGAAGGAAACGGGAGGAGGTAGAGCATACGGGTTTATTTTAAATCGGTAGGTAATGCTTCGGGCCTCCCCGGAGATGATGATGCGAGAGCGAAGGAGGCATAATTGATTGTACGATCCTCCGGAAGACAGGCGTTAACGGATGGCTCTCGCTAACGAGCATTCCTATTTCCCTACCCTTTCTCTCTTTCCACCTCGTCGCTGCGCCCGACAGCGATCTGAGTAACGTCGCGCTTCGATCGCATTCGCTGCTCTCCTTCGATCGTTTCCTTGTGCGACGCGATTGGATGTTTTGTGGATATATATCCTCATTATAGTAGCAATATTGCTACTTATTGTGGCATATAATATCAAATGAATACCCAGAGGTCAAAATATTTTTGACTGATCCATTCATCACAAATGTTGCATTTTAATATATTGCTCATTTGTACATAAGCTCGAAAATTTATTAATTTTCACGATATCGATGATCATTTGCTCGAACTTTGAGTTTTGTACAAAACATTATAAAACGATCACTAAACATGATCAAGAATTATTTTTTTTAAATAAATAAGTTCTCAATTATTTTATATAGATGTTCGATAGAATTGCGGATAAGCAAAGCTTCATCGCTTTAATTCGACATGATGAGCAATCAGTTAAAGAAAAATTTGCTGTAAAATTCAGTCGTTTTATAATATATGTATCAGAATAACAGAATAACGAAATCAAAGCATGATAATCCAACATTCCAGATGATTAAGAAATTCATTTATATCAGACATTTAATGAATTGTTATAATTGCAATCGCATCGCAATCGGACATCATCGCTTTTATACATAATTTTTATTTTAAATTTTACTTTAAAAACTAATTAATTTGAATTTCATTTATTTTAAAGTAATTTGTAAAATTCGGAGGTTGATGAGACTTTATGAGGAGGTTGATGAGTGACTCATTCACTATCTTTACACGAATTGTTCAAAATTAAGAAGCATTGATTTTTTTGACAACGCTAAAAACAAAACTAACAGAGACTGCATGGAAAACAATTGCCGATTGTCTCATAAAATTTGAAATTATTTTACACATTTTAGTTATTTGTTTCATTTATTTTTAGCAGTATGATCTGAACAGTACTTTAACTTTATGTTTTCAGAATTCTCGCAAACAGAATGAAAACTTCTATATTCATTTATTATATTTTCCATTTTAAAATAATTATCGTTTTCTATTAAGTTACAAATTACTTTAATATTATTCTGTATAAATAAAGTATATAAAGACTCGTGAAGAGAATAATCATTAAATGAAATTTATCCATATTTACATAAATCCATGTTTGGAATTATCAAGAATATTTAATTAAGGAAATTGCTCCTTAATATCTTCTTAGCCTTAACTCTTAGTACATACATTAATTTACATATGTTGTTTATATTCTGGGTTAATTTTTATTACTTTTACAAATATACAAAAAATATTAAGTGATTTTTACATAAACTTTAACATTTGTAAAAAATATTCATAAAATTGTGTATTTTAAAAAATAGAGAAAAGATAAAGATCATATTATTTAGCTATGTGTTCTTAGTATTTCAAAGAAAAGAAATACATAGGACACAAATGATCAAATCGTACGTATTAAGAGTTAGTTTAATTATCATATCACACTTCTAATATCGAGTATGAATAGTTTCAGATTATATGCTGAGGATATTGAGAGACAGAAACACAATGTCCAACAATCCGATGATTCAAGGTAGCACACCGACACCGCCACCAGCAATGGCAGAGGGATTTAAATCCGGACTGCATTTATGGAATATGTACAGTCCAGGTAATAATAATATGTATCCAGCAGCCCAACCTTTCTCTCCATCATCGTCTCATTCACCATTAGCACCGGCAAATAGTCCTGAACCACAGAGGGAAGCCTTAGATCTCGCAAATTCTGGAAACAGGTAAATAAGATTGAATTTAATATTGGCGAGAAAAAAATTAGTTTAAGTTTAGGCAAAAGAAAATTCGATTAGATCATCGGATGCGGTTTCTTTTCCAATCCCTAGTAGATCCATTGGTTCACCATCATTTGGAGGAGAGTTGAAGAGAAATCAAGAACCTGGTGAACTTTCATCTCCAACGTCTTCTACTAAAAGAATGTTCTTATCCGATGTTGAAGGAAATAACATGGTGCATTCCTTGCGTATTAGACAAATGGTTAGCACTCGCGGTAAGTCTAGAGATAGAGGTTTTGATTCTCAAATTATTGATATATGATATAATTTTCGTTTAAAAAGATTAAATCGGTATACATTATTCGCAAATAAAAACTATTTATTACAATAATTTCTTTTTCTTTTTAGATCCTACAAGACGAAGAGAATTAGAAATTAGTGTAGATATTGATGGTATTTTATATGAAGGTGTCCTGGCAGTTAAACAGGAAGGCAGTAGTAATAATGGCAGTACCTCGTCGAGCCCCGATAATAATGGAAAACGGACACAAAATAACGATTCATGAACATTTGAAAGACATATGATTTCATACGAAACAAATTAGCCTCGGAGAGTCTAATTAATAATTTTGTTCTTCAGACGTATACAAGACATTCAGGCAATTAGTATAGACATTTTAATAGACATTTTAATAAATACGAAATAAAATAAAGAAATTAAAGAAAAATCTTTCAGTACTTACACATTACAAGATTTTTAATTACATTTTTAATGTTTCTTTTTAAAGTTTTTATATGAAAGGTTTATTAGAAAATTAACAATTATCTTTTTCGAATATAATCTGAAAATACAGCTGCGTTTTAATTGGAATCGATTTTCCGTTTGCTTACATGATATCGTAAACGTCCCTATCATTCCGAACATTATCTGTGAATGTCATTATCTGTTATGTCTATTTGAATATTTCGAATGTGTTTGAAAAACAAAATTATTGCGCTCGGAACTTAATAGTCCCGAATAGTTCCATATAGTATATATAATAGCTTCGCTAACCAACTTTTCCACATAGGAATTTACAAAATAAAAATGAACGAATACGCCATAATTAGGTGTAAATAAATAACAAACGCGAATTGACCTAACTGAATTGCATATACTCCAATTTTTATTATAGATAAAAATTTATAAATCATTTGTAGGGAATTTAGATATTTTTATTGGTATTGAGATATCAGTGATCTTTTTTACCAAAGTGAGATTTGTTTATAAACCAAGTAATTAAGATATAATGTGATATTAGATACAGAATATTAAATGTAACAATTATGAATGTATGTTTGTAAATGCTTAGAGATTTTGTGACTAACACGTATGTACAGGATGCATTAATAGTGTTTTGTACGCTCACATTTAATAACCAAATATCATTATAATGTAACATTTTTATTGTTCATATAATTTATCGTTCAATTATGAGCTCCAAACATGGTTGTTATTAGATTATTTATTGATAATTCAACTACTTCATACATGCAAATACAAAAAATTGGTGAGTATGTCGTAAAGTGTTTTCCTAGATGTAAACGTATCGGACACTATTAATGTATTCACTTGTACTTTCAGACGTATTTTGACTATATAATAGATTTCTATTATCGGAGTATGTGCAATCGGAGTATGAATACATATCATACTATACGATGTGTTTATTTTGTGTATAAACTGTACAAAAATTTCTGATGCAAATTTTTGATATAACTTTAAAAAAAGTTTGTCAAATTTAGTAACAATTATAATAATTGTTGACAATGAATTAAACATCTTGAAATACAATATAGATATTAAATGTTGTAAATATCATTTTTTGCTTTTATGCGTCTATATATTTTTTCTATCACTGTTATTTTAAATGCGTTAGTGTTTATATTTTTTCTTATAAACAAAAAAATTAATGGCAAATAGCATAAACATTTTTAATCCTGTGATACAGTTGTATCCGAATTAAATGATTTTGAAAGCAGGGAATATTTCCTTGTTTATTTTATGATAAATTTCATGTTTGTAGATATGCGAGGATTAAAAATATTTGCTGTGCCATCTGTCGTATTTTCTTCATTAAAAAAATGCGGAGATATTGATTTATATAAAATATGTATATGTATTCATTTTTATATTAATTTAGGTTATTTTATGCTTATATTTTAAGATTATTATAAATCAAACTTTTTTAAACGACATATTCTTTAAGTAAATGTATTTCATAAGTTTTTTTGTTAGAGATGACTGGGCTACTGATATAGAAAATACTGTGTGTACATACAATAATAGATGAATTTCTTTTTTTTGTATTATTTGCATTATCTACTTATATGATATTTTAAAATTAATACTATCACACAAAAAGTTTAAGAAACTTTCTTAAGAAATGTATCCTCTAAATTTCTCTTTCGCATACATGTTATATCCCAGATAGCAAGGTATCGTCTATTTAATGTCATTAAATAGTCATTCTTATGACGAATGTGACGTTTAAAATGTCTAAATATCGTAAACATGATGTGGATTTATCACATAATGTCATAAGTCGATGTAGTCAAACATACGTCATATTTTCGTTATTAACAGTAGCAAGATGTCACCTTGACATCATTAATTAGTTATTCTTCTGACGAATCTATACAGTTCCTAAAACGAAATAAAAATTACAAAAATAAACAAATTTGCTAAATATTGAAGTTATAAATATTCTAATAAATTCAATTACTTTTGTAATTTCTATCTCATTTTAAAAATCATAATAAGCGTTTAAACATCGTAAAAATCACGTGAATTCTTATATTATTATTCACATAATGTCACAAACTGATATCAAAATTTTCATATATATCATTATTTTCATGTTATTAACGGAATAAATTTATTTATGACGTTATTAATTGATCACTAATAATGTTACTAGTACGTGAACAATTGGCATTTATTCGACGTCATTAAGTATGACACTGTAAAGACGTCATAAATAAATGACGTCATTAATTGATCAAAAAGATAATATCATTATTACATCTTAGATATGTCATATGATGTTAGTAAAATGGCTAACTATCGTCAAAATAACGACAGCTTGCTACCTGGGATTTTTTAAAGAGTAATTAATTGAAAGCAAATGTTATGACCATCGAATTTCAAGTATATGGTCAAACGATTGAATACGGAAATTGATTCCGCAATCATGTTAGAAGAACGAAATGAGTTTTGATTACATAAGTACGAGAGATGTAATTCCTTTTACTATTTAATTTAGATATAAAGGACACTCGTCGCCGTTTCAATTTTGGCGCGTAGAGAAATTTCAAAAATTGAATATATTGAGATGAGATGTTTGATAATTATCTGAAAAATTGTGAAATGAATTATGTGTATTTCGTAATATTTTAAATGAATCGTATGTATTATAAATCAATGTATCAAACATACAACATTCGTTTATACTCCAATAGATATTTACTTATTGTGAATCTCTCTCTTTTTCTCTCTATTTCTCTTTCTCTTTCTCTCTCTCTCTCTCTCTCTGAATGTAATTAAGTATAATGCATTTTCAAAGTTATTAAGATAAAAAATTATTAGTTATATTAGAAAGTAGTTATAAAAGTCATCTAATTCATCATAAAGATAGCACACCGAGAGAAATACGAATTCAATGATAGGAATATGTGAAGTCTACATATTTGGCATTATTCGATGCGTAACGTTTGTATATGTACGTGCTAGAATATCTTACAAAAAATAATTCCCGCAAGAGTTATAATACATGTTAAATACAAATAAAACATTCTTAGTCATGGTCATTGCAGTATGTATTTAGCAAACGTATTATAAAATGAAATAATGGTAGAACAATAGCGAGAATTTATCGCAAGGCTGTTTAAGAACCAGGATGCGAAGATATTATCAAATCGTACAATTTTTCAGAATAGAAACTCTGAGAGATTCCTAGGTTCTATATATATATTATAATGTATATATAAAGTTTTACCAAAAAAGACTGTATAGTTTTAAACTTACACTTTAGAATTTTAAGTCGCGAAATTATGTAGTGTTTTAGTAATTTTAAGTTACAGTTATTACATGTATTACATGATATTATCATTTATTACATTAAGTCCTATGATATAGGATTTTTTATAGCTTGTTCGGATTATAGGAAGCAGTTTGTTTAGTATTTTTCAAATATATTTCGAGATATAAAAAATCGAAAATTATTTGTATATCATTACATTCTGCGCACAAATTCGTACGCAAATGAGAGATCAAGTAATCTCATCATACGTAATGTTTTTATTATTTCTTTTTTTTATTCTCGTATATTTTACAGCCCTAATAAAAATCGACTTTAGAACCTTACAGCTTCAATTTTGATAGTCACAGACATATTGAGATGTTGTATAATTAAAATATTGAATTTAAATGTAAAATGATTCTCTCTTGGCAAAATGTTATGTTAATTGGCCAGTTTTGACATTAATGTTAAGAATTAAGAAAAAAAATATCTTTCACTCTCTCTCTCTCTCTCTCTCTCTCTCTCTCTCTCTCTCTCTCTCTCTCTCTCTGCTAAATCCAATAAGCAGGAAGAATTTTTCTTATTTTGTCCATACGTTTGGACATTTTATATGTCTATGTTTATCAAAATGAAGCTATAAGTATATATTTCTATTTCGAAATATGCTAAGGACTTACTGCTACATAAGCAAGAAAAAGAATAGTATAATTACTAGAATAGTTGTTAGAAAATATCATATTTAATGTCATAAGTATATTACTAGTAATACTATCGTTATTATAATATTATCACATTTATTATCACATATGAATCGTTATGATGTGAATAATAATAACGAATAATTAAAATAACGTTTCGTAACATTTTTTTATTTTCCATTTTGCATGTTGAGAACCATGTAATATATTATGCATAAATAATTTCAGAAGTTAGAACATTAACTATTGGAGTATATTACTGGATAGATTTATTGAAATATTATGGTTATTATGGTAGGATTGAGCGCGTTAATAAATGCGTCTAAGAGGAATAGGATTTCACTTCCAACAACTTTCTATTTAAATATTTTATTTGAATAACGTAATTAAATAACTAAGATGATTTTTTTCGAAGTTTTTTTCGAAGTCAGGGAAGTAGCAGAATCAATTCTCATATCGTATCGAAATGTTTATTTCCAACTTTCTTCTAAATGACGTAATCAAATCCATGCTATTATTTAATCAATTGTTTACGCCTATTGTTACTCTAATATTAAAACGTTTCATTTACTTATTATTCAGTACAATATTATATTCTATTATGCTAGTTTAAACAGTTCATGCATATTATAATGTGATAACATTTCACTAAATAATATGGTGACAAATTGCAACCGTTCGTATTATTATTGTTTCCTTCATAATAACGAGATATATTATAAATGAATTCATTAAATAAATTAACCAACTCAAATGGCAAATTTTCTAGCGTTTTACCTCGATATATAGGCACATTCGATTTTTTCTTTTTTTCTTGATTTAAACTATAACAACTTTCCAGCATCGTGTCATCAGATCAATCATTAAATTTAATTATATAAAGAAGATTAATGATT